ACGTTTCACTAGCTTTACACCAGAGGTGTGCGCTGTGTGTACTCATTCGTGGAGCTGTCAGTAAAAATCAAACATGGTGACCTATTCTGAGTTTATTCGTACACGGTTACACCGTGCAACAAATTGCAACTACCTGAGATTTCGTTAGTTTTATTGAGTTTTGGTCTCACCTTCTAATTCATTGTGATACCCGTGCAACCCATGCAGGACATACACTATTTATGTACTTTACTGTCTGGGCCAAAAACATAAAAAACCAGCTTTGACAGCAGACACTGCCTGTGAAATCAACTAAAGACCCAAGCTAGCTTGTTAGCAGCTAAAAATGGCATCTTGTTTGTTTAATTAAAGTGCCAGCAACTGTCTTGTTTCTTCAGACTTTAATCATCTTCAATAAATATCCATACAAATTTGACACTATTTAAGGGGAACTAACAGCAATATTTATAACTGTCACGGTCTGGCAGGCAAACCGTGGGGATATGGGGAATGAGGACCCAAAACGCAGACTCTGCGATGCAAACAGTGCTCTTTATTTACAGTGAAAAGCTGTAAACACAATAACTATCCGTTGTTCCCTTGTGTGCTTCCCTCCGACGTCTGTGCTCGTGCTTGTGCTCCCCGCTGTTGTGTTTCCGCACACCCCGTGCGTGCTGCCTTTCTGGACCACTCTTCCTCCTGCAGAAAAACCATAGAAGCAGCCGTCAACACTAACTCTGGCGGGCATACACGAACAGCACTGACATATGCTGACACACACTAACTTGGTAGGATACTCAATGAACCCGTGCCGGTGGGAGCTCCAACACTCTCCTAAGTAGCTCCCCCGACGAGCCCTGATCGCCAAAAGGTGTGTGGCAGGAACTTCAGGTGTGGCCAGTCCTTCTGCCGGGCCACACCCATTAGGCCCGCATGTGGCTGTTCTCCATCCTCCAGCCACACATGTACACACCCACACCCTGCCTCTACATATAGTGAGTGGAACAAAGAACACTGCACAGTGCAGAACGACACACATCCCTAAATAACAACAACAATAACAACAATACTAATAATACCAATAATGGTCCATCCTGCTCACGGACCCCCGAGTTCACCAGAGCCGGTCCGTGACAATAACAGCAAGATTTATTGCCAGGAAGCATTCCAAACACAAATTTCCTCATGTTCGTGTAAATATCCAGCAGCTCCATTTAAAAAAACAGACATCCCTCCAGCCATAACAGTAAATAAGTGAAATAAATTGTGGTAAACATACGGATAAAAATACATTTGAGCTAAGTCATCTTGTTTCCTTTCCCAGAAGAATTGGACTCCTGAGATGT